AACGTGTTCAGGCTCTACAAGAAAGAGATTACCTGCCGAGGGTTAGGTTTTGCTGTGAAATATTGCGAATGCATGAATCAGACCACCACTTTTTTAATAAAATAATTTGGAGCGATGAATCATCATCATCAACCTTCACAGTTGGCAGATAGACAAGCCTCACGAAATGAGAGAAGATCGTTCGCAGTACCGGTACAAAATAAATTTATGGTGCGGTATTTTTAATTGTCAGATATTGGGACCTGTGGAACTGCCGCCAACGCTCAACTCTCACAGTTATTTAGAGTTCCTTCAGGAACGGCTTCCAACTCTTTTGGAAGATGTACCCTTAAACCTGCGGCGAAGACTATGGCTGCAAAATGACGGGTGCCCTGCTCACTACGGGCGTGAAGTAAGAGCTCATTTAGACGATACTTATCCTCGCCGATGGATTGGACGATACGAGCCAATCACGTTGCCGGTTCGATCGCCAGACCTGAACCCATTCGATTTTTTCTACTGGGGCTGTCTTAAGGACAAAATTTATTCAAAAACAATTCAAAACGAAGAGCATTTGCGGGAACAAATAAATGGAGCTGCTGCTGAGATAGCCCAATTGAGTTTAAGATCTCTAAAAACGTCTTTTCTTAAAAGGTGCCGAGCTTGTATTAGAGTAGAAGGTGGCCAATTTGAGCATATTTTTATCAATAAATGAATAAATTTTTCTTCAAACAACTCATGTATATCTTATTTCACGTGAACCCATCCTTCACACAAAATATTGATAGATATAGCCCTTGTTATAGACTCTAGTCCGAATTCCGGTAAGTAACACAAAATAATATCAGGAGCAGGTAATAATGTACCTTTGTACTATTTAGCATGTCATTTGACGGTAACAAGAGCAAATTCTATTTAAATCTATTAAATACATTCTAGCGTGTCTCAGTCCTTTACCCACAAAAGCGGCTATAACCTTTTTTTTCTAGTCGAAACAGTAAGTGTGGCACATTTCTGAAATCTCTATGAAATGAGCAATTTTTTTATGTAATGTAAAGTTATAGCTCAGTACATTTTTTTTTCACCCGAGATAGTCAAAGTTGGCGAAGAGAATATCAAAAAGTTAAAAATCCAGAAATAGTCCTAATTTTATGATGGTTCCTTAATATATTTTAACTACATTGCATTTGAGTATGGAGAGGCAACTATCTGGAAGTATTTTACATAAAAAATTTAATAAGGATTGCCCGGTTTGTAGTTGCAGTTAAAAAAAAACACACGAAAAGGCACGATTTTTTTTAAATTCGAAAAAATGTAAATATTTCAAAAACGGTGACACTTTTACCTGAAAATTTTTTGTTTATCAGTGAGCTCACCCAAGCCAAATAACGAGTTGATTCGGATCAACGCTGCCATCTGTCAATCCTTTTAGACTTTTAAGGGTGGGAAGAAACATGCAAAAATAACGTTTCCAATTTTGTTTATAAGCATACACCTACATACATATATATTTTGAGCTTTTGATGTTTAGTCACACCATTAATATTATTACAGGATTCAATAATATTCCCAGTATGGAAATGCGAGCTTCACAAACCAACAATGGTTCCAGTTCATTATCAGCCGTGATAACTCATCATACTAGTGCTGGGCCCAGTCACGCCCATCAATCGGTTTCCCACCATGCTCAGCATTTGCAACATCAAGCCACGCCGCACACATCAAATACTGCATCTGCACATCACATACATTCCTCATCTACTGGGACTTTAGTAGCATCATCTTCAGCGCATCATCACTCACATTTAGTTCAATTGCAATCGCAGCATCAACATGAAATTTCATATGCGCAAGCAATTCTAAGTGAAAATGAGAAAAGTATAGGTAAAATCAAATCTTTAAAACTCTTTTAATACTTTAAGCTCTGAATTAGTATTCATCATGCACGGAAATATACAGCGGGGAAAAATTATTAGAAACAAAGCAAAAAAATAGCACTTATGTCACAAAAATTAGAAAAACATACACCAGAATATTTATAAATACAAGATTATGGAGAATAGAAATATTTCTCTACGTAAAAATAAAGGAAAGAATAAAACTTCCTTTTGAAATTCTAACGAAAAGTTCCCATCCATTCATGTGCCGCTAGATATGTTACGCATAAATTTCATTAGCAGTCGCTTTTACCAAAAATAGTTTTTTTTGCAGGACTAACGGTTTTCAAGGTAATTCCATTCAAAACGTTCTAAAGTACAGTATGAGCGACATTTGGGCATACATTATTCCACCTCTTTTGATTTTTAACCCCTCGAGTACAAGGACATCAAAAAATTTAAAATAAGTGAAAAAAGGCCAGTAACATATTAAGTGTATTATTTATGTATTCTGAGGGAATCCAGGGTTTTGAGTGAATTGTGTATAAGCGGGCATATTTGTAAAAGACCTGCTGAAACTTGTGTATAGTTTGGTGTATTTCATCCAAATTTCATGCTCGAAAACGTGCTGCATCTCAAAGTGGCGGTAGCGCAGGCTTTCTCTTGCAAAATGCGTGCAAGTTTTTAATAAGCCAAAAGTATAGAAGCACTTCAATGGAACAACAAAGCCGATAATTTCCGTGTTAATTTTAAGAAAAATCTATAGTCAAGAAACTAAAAGTAAGCACAAGTGAAGCAATCGGTGAACTGTTGTTCGTGAACTGATTTATCAACACGAGCAAATATAAGAAAAAATAAAATAAAATAAAATAAATTTTAAATAGCAGAGCTCCTCCACCTGGAAGCGGCAGGAACAAAACGGTGCAAAGTATTGAGATTTCCCATCTTGAACTTGAAAATATGTGCGCGCATTTAAAAATGAGCGGGTAGATGGTGGAATGGGATAAAGCAAGCTTTGTCTAAGGTATTGACGTAATTCTTGTTTATTTGGAAGACCCATGTATGCCTTTATGTTCGTTCAATTATCCACTGCCGGTTCTCACGGTGGCACGGATCCGAGTGATCCAATTTTCAATAATTTTGCCGCATAGATACGGCTGAATCTGAGCGATGGCCTGGGTTATGTTGAATTTAAGGTGCGACTTCAAGAAACTCCAGAAGAAAAAGTCTAAGGGGGGTCAAGTCGCACAACCTTTGTGGCCAATTCACGCTACTTTAGCGAGAGATAACCGTAGCCTTCATGCAGTAAATCCTTCATGCAGAATGTGCTTGCACTTAGCACCAATCTGCTGTAACTACATCCTCGCCAAAGTCCATATCGTTCAATTTGGGTCAAGTTAAAGTCTGGGAAAGGGTGAGTACTTGTGCGTAGTGAGAAATGGACTGCCTCCGACTTTCCTGCGATCTTTTACGGACCAAGACGATGTTCTCGACCGATATGGCGTTCCTTTGACGTAGGGGCGTTGGCTGATTGTTAACCGAACCGGTCGTCTTGAATTTAGCCACCAAGCGTTGGCGAGTCTACTATGAAGGGCCAAATGTGAATGGACCCAATGCCACAACGTTTTTACTAACATGTCCTTACATTAGGGCTGCCATAATCCTGAACCCATCGACCAGGACACTTATTCCCTATAAATGAAGTTTCTTTGGTTCTGGTGTTGCATTATTTTGAAGTATTTTCTGATATTATAAGCAATGCAGTTTTGTGGCACAATCCATAGAGCTGAATGATTGATGATAATGAAACGCTCAAGTTTTGATTTTTTTTTTTTAAATCAGAAAATAGCACATTTCTCTTGACAGTGACGTAACTTGGCAAAATGCTTTGGCGCTTTTAACGTGATCTTGAATGCTTGCCTACAATGTGCTTCATGATCATTTTTGCCATTTTGTATATGCTAACCTAAAGATAATTTAGGTAGGCTGCCTGAAGTGAAGCCATTGTAAAAGACTTATCCAATAAGGACTGAAAAATGTGCTTCCCTGCGAGCTTCCTATTTACAATTTACGCGAATGTACTTAAGTATATGTTTATATTATTTAGCATCACAAGTGGGATTCAATAAGCTCTTCAAGTCTCAATAAAAAATATTTGATATGAACCTTGAATATTTATATTCCTCAAAAATTATGATTTTTATGAACTAAAAACTGCTGTAAAAGAACTTCTTCAAAAGGCCCTCAGAAGTACATCCTACAAAAGCCCTTCTGAGGCTCTTCTCTAAGTAGCGAAAGCAGAAGCTCTTTATTTTGTGCCACTACGTACAAAAAAGGAAGGAGAAAGGAATGATTTTCAGAAAGGTCTTTTGAAAGAGATTTTAACTCCTGAAATTATGTACTGCGTAGTACCACTCAGCCGTGTACCTGTTCAGGAACTTGCACTTTTTTGGCATTTGCCTGAAGATACAAAATTAGATTTTAACCAAATAAACTAAACAGAAAGAAGGTAAACTCACCAGATATTGTTCAACATGTTATACCATGTCCCCACCAAAAAGTTAACCATCTCAAATCGAACTTAACCACATCACTAACTATTGCTGTCCACACTGCGGTTTGAGGTTTATAAAACAGTACAAATGTAAAGAACAGTGTTCGGCCCAAAAATCGATTCAGGACTAAATTACTGCAAAAATCGGAGCAAAAACCGATTTTCCGTACTAGATTGAATTTTTTATTTTTGTTTCTGACATTAACTGTTTGACTAAAATATTTTCTACTCATGCAAAATAAGAACGCGAGGCAATATAAGGATAATATATTACATATTTAGTTAATTTTTAACATTTTAAATATAGTAGAACGTAAACGTAAAACTTAATTTTTTAAAAAGCAAACCTTTTCTACTTTATATAAATTTCATTCCTCATATATTTTTTAACAACTTAAGTAAAGTTCTGCATCCGCCAATTTGTGCAGCCATACATCAAAGAATAACGATGTTACTTTATTGACGCATTGCTATGAAAGAGTTACTTTTTAACAGTGAGATTTGGCTAACTTTCAACTTTTTAACTGAAACACTTAATTTATTAAAAAGCAAACCTTTTCTACTTTATATAAATTTCATTCCTCATATATTTTTTAACAACTTAAGTAAAGTTCTGCATCCGCCAATTTGTGCAGCCATACATCAAAGAATAACGATGTTACTTTATTGACGCATTGCTATGAAAGAGTTACTTTTTAACAGTGAGATTTGGCTAACTTTCAATTTTTTAACTGAAACCGGTGGTGAACACTCAAAAAACGGCACCAAGAGGGGCATAGCATGAATGAAAAAAACGGAATAGATTTGAAGTCAAGCGGAGTAGAGGAGTAGATTTAAAATTTTTTCAAAAATCGGAGTAAATCTAATTGATTTTAGTGGAGTCCAAACACTAGTAAGGAACGAATTCTTCACATTTTAACGCTAATGACCCACAGATGGCGGGCAAACACAGGGTTGTATCAGACTTTCGACGTGGTTTCGAGTTGGTTAGCTTTTAACCATCTCAGTGAAATGGTTAAGTGCTGTCATTTTTATATGGCGAAACTACGCTAAATCAAGTGGGTTATCGGGATAACCAACTCAATAGCCATAACTACGTGGTTAGCTTCGGTGGGGACATGGTATTAGGATAAAACTAATGACAGAAAGCTTAACCTTTTTTTAATGTAAAAATCTGCTAAAAATTAAATGAGTGTCTGCATTGACCTTCATTAAAAAACCAGGACAATTTAAGTGTGGACCAGGACACCAGGACAATTTGTTTAATTCAGGACAAATCGTGGAAAACCAGGACGTCTGGCAGCCCTACCTTATATGGTAATTTGGCATCATTGACTGAATAATAAAAAACAGAGGGCTCACGCTGCCAACATCTACCCACACCAATTAAAACCCCTTTATGAAACAGACGAAGAGGAACTGGTCGCTAGACTGAATAGATTATGAGACATAGAAAATCTGAAAAATTAAATTAAAATTAAAATTAAAAAATTAAATTAATCGCCCTCTATCAAAAATTCAGGTGCCGGTAAATCTCCTAAAAAGTGGATCCTACACCAAAAACAGTTATACATTCACCAATTTTGATTGATATCATTAATCATTATAAAAAATTGCATTCCGAAACGTACCGATTTTTGATTAAACTTTTAAAAGCGGGTCCAGATAAAGTAACACATTTGACTCTAAAAGGTCTATTCTGCTCTGGTAATAAAAAGTTTGTAACCGGTAAATAAAGTTCCTGTCAATTTTTAAACCCTTTTCGCATTATCTGTACTCTTGTAACCGGTAAATTTTGTTACCATCTCATAAGCTGGTAACAAAGTATTGCCCCGTGAAATATTCAATGTCAGAATCTGCACAATTCTTCATAGCTGAATTGCTGAATGTTTTAACTGCATTACCAACGGACCTAGAATCGCGGTGACAAGAACTGGTAACATTTTTTGGTAATAAAATTTTCCGGTTACAAAATCTTCGGTAACGTGCAGAATAGACCTGTAAAGATCGATCTGCAACAACACTTTTAACTAGTGTAAATATCCTCTGGTTTAGTTATAAAGACAGACAAACCAGCCAATCAGATTCATGGCTAAAAATCTTCACAACTCTTGTGACGAGGGGTAAATTCTAAGAGACTTGAATTCTCAAATTAAAGTGGAAACCAAAAAGTCTTAGCATGTTCATGTACATTAGACTAAGGTGAAGATGTGAAAAAATATACAACGTCACAACAATTTTCAATGCTATGGTCAAAATTGAGCTGATAAAGTCGCCCAGTGTAAGAAATATCATGCCTAAGGCCGGTCCAACTTTCGCGTTGACGTTGGCGTTGGTGTTGATTGCGTGCTGACTATGAATACACACGTCCACATATCAACGGCAACGCCAACCCCGCACACAAAACAAAAAGATGTCGAAATTACACCAATTTCTTTGTTTCTGTATTTCTT